TTAGCAAAAACAGCACTATTAAACTTGATCATACTGATTATAAAATTTTGATTATGATCTAGCTAACATATATATATATATAATTTTTTTTAAAAAGAGCTCAGCAACTCTGATTTTTAAATTATGTGTAGAGGAGGTTAAGAGAATATATGTAGAGAAAGACACATACACCTTTCCTATACCATTTCCTAAAGAATTATAAAAATAGAGAAAATAAAGTAAACAAAAATAAGCCAACACAAATTAAGACCCTCAAAAGATTACAACCCATAAAAAATATCTACTCTGGAAATGTCATTAACAACTTGAAATCTACATCTCCAGTAAAAAAGAGGTAAAGAACCTCTGCAATGGTGCTGCCTGCAATTATGGACAAATCAATTTAATCAGTCACTATGGTATGCACTGTGTTATCCAATTCAGTGAACCATTTCAGTCACCAAATGGTCAAAAGAACTTGCAGCCAAGCTCACCACTTCAATCAAGAACATACCTTTTGGCAGATTTATCACCACAATTGTATTTTGGCTCAGAGAGGTTTATGGTATTGCTTTTAGGTTTCATTGCAAACACTGTTAAGAGGATAGAGAAAAAAATTCTAATTGCTACACAATGTAATCTTCCGGATTCCTAACCCCCATCACATTTGCTTCCCTGCTGAGGCAATGCCTTAGATGCTATCTGCTCCTGTTTATGAGTGGCAGCCAAGGGTGTGGGGGGAGGTATTTAGTCCATCCCTTTCAGTATTTCTTTGCTTTGTGTCAATCATTCTTACCAGCTGCACAACTCACACCATTTCTGAGATGTTTTCTTTTCTTACCGGCATTTTAAGCAAAATGGCAACCATTCTTGCCAACCCGTCCACTCTGCTCAACATGCTATATATGCACCACTGCTATAAATTTTGCAGCACTTAGGCTGAAACAAAGTGACACTGAACTCTGCTTTAGAAAAATCAATTCAATCATGTATTCTTATCTCAGGAATGGCCCTTCCATTACTCTTAGTCTCCTAATCTCCAAATTCCCATTTTATTTCCTCTTTTGCTGCTGTGAACTCATTTGCTGTTAGAGGGTGGCTACGGTTATTTTCCATGGTCGCACTGTATGTAGGAACATAGCCACCTTCTTCTGCTTACTCCCAAGATGGACTATGGGATTTGTAGTGTGTATAGAGCAGTGCACATGACAACAAAAGTGCTTGTTCCAAACAAACAGAAGTGAGTGGAAAAAGGAAAGAGTTGGGAGCTCATGGAGGATGTTACAAGGAGGCAAAAAACAGAATAAGAAACACATTTGATGAAAAATAGATTACAGGACTATTAAGTAGTGGAGGTGTATGGGTTATTTTTGGAGAATAAGGATATTGTTTATTGTCGCTTTATTTATTGACGTTTTTATCTTCTTGACCAATTCATTGAATTTGTTAAATACTAATGGTAGATGAGCTGCGTTAAAAGAGACACTTTACTGAAAAGATTGAACAGTAGGTTTACAACATAACAAAGGTATACAGACTCTCTCTGACCATCAGTTCACTGAAATAATACATTATGAATGCTTGTGGGAATATATTACCAATTTAAATAGGATTCAAATAAATGGTTCTCTCTTGCCCATTTCTTGTCTAATGTACATGTTTTCACCTGGCAGTGAAAAAATAAAAAGATGGGCTTTTTTTCTGCATTTGGAAACTGAAGGAAAGCGCAAAAGAAACCTCTATGATACAGTTCATCAATTGTACCAGCAACAAGAACGCCACACACCCAGATGCAAAATAATATTCTTTTCTTAAAACAGCCATCGGGAACAAGTTCTATTCTGACATGTTTCGTGCTAGGCACATCTCTTTCTCAATCACTTCCTAACTTGATGAGGAATTCTGAGCCAGTGCCCGAGATGTGGAGCCTGGTCTTGCCAGGAGCATCATGTGAAATATTTGCTACAGTTATTGGTTAATCTTTCCCCGCAACTTAACATCACACACACCAGGAACATTTATCTATTTGATGTATCTCCTGGTTCTTAATTTGATGGATTCCCTCTCAGTTAAAATTGAGCAGCTCAAGTTTGGTTTACATTTTTTCATGAATGCTAATTCTACAGAAAAACCTGGAGGTGCGAGCCATCTCAAGTCTTTAAAAAACAAAATACACACACCCCTTAACACTACCACCAGGCATTTTAAACTGAACAGTCAACTTTTAAAAAGCTCAGGAGACTCAATGGGGTTAATTTACTACAACTGAAGAGTGCAAAATCTGATGCAGCTGTGCATGGCAGCCAATCAGCTTCTAACTTCAGCTTGCTCAATTAAGCTTTTGCAAACAAAAAAAAAGAAAAAAAAGGAAGTTGATTGGTTTCTATGCACAGCTTCACCAGATTGTGCACTCTCCAGATTTAGTAAATCAACCCCATGTCACATAGTTGTCATCAGAACAGAAGTCCCCTTTGGAAAGTTTTCCCTTACATCCTGTTCTCCTGTGGAGAGAGAACTGAAAAATGTTGGCTTTCCTTCTTTGTTTAATTGCAGTGGTCACCAACACAAACAGAAAGGTTGAAAATGCTGGGGGACAAAATCTGAGAGATTTTAACCCTTTCCTACTATATCCAAAAAACAGATTGCTGTGGATACACTTTATTAGGTTAACCCCACAGGCTGATTTTTGAAAGGTTCAACAAATATTTAAATAAAGTTAGACTCTTGTAGCTCTGAGATGACCGGTTCTAATTTCTGTGCAGTTGCTGATATCTTTTAGATTGTAAACTGCACTGCATGGTAAAAAAACTCATTTATAAAATATCTCAAAAACTAGTCCTCTGTAGAGAAAAGTAAGAAAATGAATTTTTATCCTGTATATTATCTTTTTTATGTAGATTGTAGCGATGCTTAATTTTCATCATCATTCACTGAACATTTTATTATGAATGTATACAGAATATTCATAGAAAAAAAAAACAGTTCTGCTTACGATCTGTTTTTTTCTTTACTCCCAATCTTATGTACATAGCTAACAATACTTTGCAGTAGCATTCTATACATAATTTTAACTTTTGATTTTATCCCACAGTGAACGATCATCTAATGCAAGAAGTCAATAGGAAATGTATAGGAGCCCTTCAAAAAGCATGCAATTCAAAATTCTGAAAAGTGGTTAGCAAACAAGAAATTTAGAAAGGACAGACATGTCATGTAATTCATCTGCACCTCACTGTTGCCTTTATGTCACCAAATGCTCTCCAGAGGCTGCAATGTCTGTCTATAGCTTCACCTCTTCTCTCCCCAGTGACCGTTACACAAAGTGTTGTTGCTGACAAGACGGCTAAAAGGGTAAGTGACATTCAGATTTCCCTAGTCAGAATGTAAAAAGCCCTAGCATCACCTGAATGTTTTAATATTATACTGCACAAGGATGCTTGTGTCTGGAACAGCTATTTGCTTTCTTTTCTAGTGCAGGCTAGAAAACTAGAGGCAGAAATTGGTTGGGAAAGCAGAAATCAATACCTTGGGCAAGGATTTTATTTAAAAACAATATCTGGTTGTTGTGGGAAAGGCCCATATTGTTAAAAAAAATAAAATACAGCTATGGATGCCACCCTTGGTCTTCAAATCACGCAGTGCATCAATAATATGGATTTACCTTCTCCTAAGCACGAAGGCTAGAATTCTCTTTGAATATCCATTTAACCTATTCTATTCCTACTGTTTCTCATAAAATAACAGTATGAAAATCTTTGTCCGAGAACTTAAAGGAACAGGTTGCTCTTAACATCTAAAATTTTAAAATTACTATGAAACAAAATGGGACAGACTCAATGTTCTCTATAATTCTATGTAAATAGCAAAAAAAAAAAAAAAAATCAGGCATACACACCCTTTATGAAGGTAAAAGCCCAACCCCAGGCACAGCTATTTATATATATTTTTTAAAGCTGAAATTTAATCTGCCTGTATTTTGCCCTCCATGGTCCCTCCTCATCAACATGCTAGTGACATTTTTGAACAAAACCTGTTTTCATCACAGACCTTAATTTATATCTAGTGACCTCACCACTTGATCTCAGTGCTTCTCTAGGCAATTCAGGCAGATCATGACTGATGGGAGGGACTGGTAGTGTGATATAATAGCCTACTGAAAGCAGAAAGCTGTGGTAATGCCCACATCATGCGGAGCTTCCACGATTGAAAGAAATGCTATCCGATAAATAAAAAGGGTCGGCCAGGGACAGTACAGCTGGATAGGAAATTGCTAGATGATGCCTGCCTCCTCTGGAAAAGAGGCAGACTCTATGGGTTTATTTACTAAAGCTGGAGAGTCCAAAATCAGACTCCCTTCTGCATAGAAACCAATCAGCTTCCAGGTTTCATTGCCAAAGCTTCATTGAACAAGCTGAGGTTAGAAGCTGATTGGTTTCTATGCAGAAGGGAGTCTGATTTTGGACTCTGCAGCTTTAGTAAATATACCCCTATAAGTCTTGCTGCAGCTTCTAATGCACACTTTGCGAAGCTTTCAAAGTGAAGTGAATTAAAAATAAATAAGACATCTATACTGTGTAAATAAAAAATATGAGGGCAGCATAGTGGCTACGTAGTTAGCACTATCAGCACTAGGGTCGTTGGTTCGAATTACAACCATGGCGCTACCTGCATGGAGTTTGCTTGCTCTGCTTGTGTGGGTTTCCTCTGATTATACCGGTTTCCTCCCACATTCCAAAGACATGCTGGTAGGTTAATTGGATCCTGTCTAAATTGTCCCTAGTACATGTGTGTATGAATGTGAGTTAGGGACCTTAGATTTTAAGCTTCTTGAGGGCAGGGATATACCGTATTTTCCGGCGTATAAGACGACATTTTAACCCCTGGAAATCGTCTACAAAGTCGGGGGTCGTCTTATACGCCGGGTGCTGTGCTGAAACCTTACCGTACTTCCGGGTTGACGCTACTGCGCATGTCTTCGGCAGCAGTAGACGATCGCGGATCACCGTAGCTCGCAGAACTGCATGAGACATCGGATGCAGCAGTGCTCGATTGAGCTTGACTGAAACTGTGATATGCAGAGAAGGGATACACAGTGATTCTGCGCATGTCACAGTTTCAGTCACGATCAATCGAGCACTGAACGGCTGCATCCGACGTCTCATGCAGTTCTGCGAGGAATGGTGATCAGTGATCGTCTACTGCTGCCCTAGACATGTGCAGAAGTGTCAGCTCGGAAGTACCGGTATGGTACTGCTGCATCCGACCTTGTCCCCTTAACTGCTATGAGATACGGGTATTATTAATATTATATTCTGTGTGGCAGTTCTGTGCAATTTATGGTATCTTGGAGACAGGCAGGGCTGGGCAGGCAGGGAGAGCTGGACCCACCCAATCCAAGCAGGCTTTGTATGCAGTGTGTGCACAGTGTGCACTAAATACTGGTACATTGCTTGCCATGTGATTGGTTGGAAGAGGGGGGTTAGTCTTATACGGCGAGTAGTATAGCCCAAAACCCTATATTTTAACAGGAAAAGTAGGGGGGTCGTCTTATACGCCCAGTCGTCTTATACGCCGGAAAATACGGATATATATACACAAGTACCTGTAATAAATATGATATGTATATAAATGTAGACAGAATATTAATAGATTTTATAAAAAGCATTACAGAGTTCAAAATGCAGCATCTCACAAAAGCCAAGTAGGTTACAATATGTCATTGTTTTCCTTCTCACTTTGTCTTCCTCAAAAAACAACTTATTATTATTATACAGGATTTATATAGCGCCAACTTATATCCCTTATATAAGAAACATTAACAGTATATATGTGAGTTCTATAAATGACAATTCATTACTACATTGGTTAATGTAAGAAGGATCATTACACAGAAGCATCCAAATCCCTATCAATTTATATAGAGAACAAGCAATGACACGAATACTCCAAACCTGCACATTAAAAAGGAGGAAATACTAAAAAAAAAAAAAAATCCAAGAACTAACATTCCTGAGATATACAACCTTCCCAGTGTCATTATAAATTTACAACGAAGGAAGATGAATAATCTTTTGGTAATTTTACTCACTAGCTTTGAAACTAGCCTATAACTTTTGTAATGAAGACTAATGATGAATGGTAGGAATCCTTAAGATGACAGGTTGAAAATTGCCAGGAATATAAGTGAAGAAAATAAATCCTTAGGATTACATCATGTGAATTCTTGTCTGCAAACAAAGTCACACCCTCATATCTGTATCTCACACACTAACTACTGCTCGGCTTAATAACATGCACTACTATTAAATATCCAGGAGGTGGAGCTTCACTGCCAGTCTAGGAATAATGTGTTCAATAAATGATTCACATTTGTAAGGAATCTGATTTGCTAAAGCTTACATCAATCACTGGGGAGCCAAAGCTGAGTCTAGAAGTCTAGAAGTACAGCTGGAGGAGGTTTTCACACCCAACACTAAAATTTACCTTTTATATAAATGTAGATTTGTATCTATAAAGAACTTAAAGCGGTATTAAACCCAAAACCAAAAATGTAATATATTGTAATCAGTAGATGTATTGGCCGCAATAATTTTCTTTTTTAAGCTTTTTCTCCTTTTTTTTCACCTAGTTATCTGGCTAGTATTAGATTGCCCCCACTCTTGATAAAGTGACATATCAGCATGGATGTGACTCCACTTCATCAAACTAAATCTTTCCAAAATGGAGCTCATACTATTCCCTCCAGCCCGTGATCCCTCCCCTGAATTCTCCATCAAGATCAATAACACAATCATCATTCCCTCCCCTCATGCCAGGGTGCTAGGTGTAATCCTAGACTCCCCATCTGTCCTTTCACCCCAAATCCAATCACTGTCCAAATCTTGTAGACTTCACCTCCGCAACGTCTCCAAGATACGCCCGTTCCTAACCTCGGAAACCACTAAGCAACTTATTCACTCCCTTGTTATATCTCGCCTTGACTATTGTAACTCCCTCCTCATTGGCCTACCTCATTGCAGGCTATCTCCTCTTCAGTCTATCATGAATGCTGCTGCCAGACTTATCCACCTTACTAACCGTTCCATATCTGCCATCCCTCTCTGCCAATCCCTCCACTGGCTTCCCATTGCCCAACGGATAAAATTCAAAACATTAACAATAACATATAAAGTCATTTATAACTCTGCCCCAAATTATGTCACCAATCTGGTCTCCAAATATCACCCAAACCGTCCTCTCCACTCCTCCCACGACCTCCTGCACTCTAGCTCCCTTGTCTCCTCCTCCCATGCTCGTCTACAGAACTTCTCCAGAGCTTGCCCCATCCTCTGGAACTCTCTTCCGCAATCTGACTATCGCCTACTCTGCCCACTTTTAGGCGATCTCTGAAAACCTCTCTATACAGTAAAGCTTATCCTGCTTTCAGCTAATAACAGAATATTCTATTCCGACTATTAGTTCATCCCCTACAGTTATTACCTTTTGTACCACCAGCCCCTCCGTCTTAGATTGTAATCTCCAAGGAGCAGGGCCCTCCTAACTCTCTTGTATTGAACTGTATCGTTCCTGTATTGTCTCCCTTTATATTGTAAAGTGCTGAGCAAACTGTTGGCGCTATATAAATCCTGTATTATAAGAAGAATAATAACAGAGCACAGGGGGCACCTGTTGACAGCAGCATATTGATTCTGGTCTGGGAGGGGGAAGGGAGTGTTAGATTACTAGAATATTTACACTAAAACACCAGCGAATACTCTATATGCAGTTGCAGGAACATTTTTTCCCCTTTTTGGATAAAAGTTTTACATAAAATCTGATCTTTGTAAGAACCCTTGTCAGTGTTGAATGGTTTGTCTCACTCTTAACTGCTACATCTGCAGGATAGCTTGTTCTGTTGAAAAACAACAGACTTACTAGCAGGATCACCAGCTTAAAATAAAGGATAACAAGAAAACTAATGAAACCATCACACCCAAGAATTGGTAAGCTGCAATATTATAAATGTTTGCTTTTGGGTTTAATACAGTTTTATGGTTGATAAACCTATCATTCTAGTCCCGAGATGTAGTGGAAGGGGTAGACACTTAAGACTGCCAGAGATGGCTCGAATCTATGATCTGTCTGTTCAGCAGGAACCGGCCAAGATTCAAACCTACTATGGGCAGGGTGATTGTACCCAATTCGATTGTTGTATGACTTGGGTACAACCAGCATATCGGAATTTTCATGCAACTATAGCCAGTGGCTATAGCTGCTAGCAATAATCATGGTTCTTACCGCCCCCCCCCCCCCCCCCCGTTCCAGGGAGGACACAATGGCTCCGCAGGAGGGATTCCCCCACCAACACTCACTGTGCTGATGGGGGATTCAAGCAATTTTCCCAGGGTTACAGAAAAGAAAAATCGCATTGTCTATGGTCGGTCTTAAATTTGGGGGTATTTGAGTTCTAGGCTGCATACACTCTCACGTAACAAGGACAGTTAGTGTAGATTTTAAAGTATATGTAAAAGCAAATGTTTTGTTTTTTGAAGTGAAAAGGGGTTAGACCATCTACCAAGTTTTATTGTTTGTTTCCCCACAGGATAGATTTGCTCCACTTTATTTGTCAGAAACAGGAATTGGGAAAAAATCCTAAGTGATATAGAGTGCCATAACAATAGGTGAGAGGAGTCTTCCAATGGGGAAAAATATTCCAGTGACAACTTCCTAAGATTGAAATGCCTAAAGGGGGGGGGGGGGAGGGATTTAGTCTCACTTTCTGTTCAGTCCCCAAGGCAGTAAGTGCCTAAAGCTCCCCAGCAGGGTTCATACAACAAAAAATAACCCAACAGGAATTTTAACCATTCTAGACTCTACCCAAAGCTAGATTAAAATGTTTTGCCCATATATACTGTACAATTGAAAAGGAAACCATAATTGTTTTGGTCAATTTTGTTTTGTTTCCAAGTTTAAATTTTTATTACAGAACGCATCAATTACACTTTGGGGTTGATTTACTAAAACTGGAGAGTGCAAAATCTGGTGTAGATCTGCATAGAAACCAATCAGCTTCCAGGTTTTATTCCCAAAGCTTAATTGAACAAGCTCAAGTTAAAAGCTGATTGGCTACTAGGCACAGCTACACCAGATTTTACACTCTCCAGTTTTAGTAAATCAACCCCATTGTGTTAAAAAAGAATGATATTCTATTTAGCACTAGCTGCCTGCAACCAAATCTCCACAAGACTGTCAGAACTAGCACGACTCTTTTATCAATTTAGAAGTGGGAGCGTTATGAACTGAAAAACATCGAATTCTAGGGCATTCCCAGCATAGTAGAGGTGTGAAAAACTGCCTTGAGCATACCAACAGCCAACTTCAAGGTAAATAGGAAAAACATTCATTTTCAATATTTCTCATTTACCAAACCAAAATATTAGTTCTGAGCATAGACAAAAAAATTACATTGCTTGTAACTGGTTTATTTGATTTTGAACAGCATTAAAAAAAAAATTAAAAAAAAAAACCTGTAAATCAATGCTTTATAGCTTTGCACAGAATTTACAGTAACTGAAAAATTAAATCCGATATTTCTGAAAAAAATTAAGGGGGGCTGAAACTGAAAAGGACCTCTTACAATTTATTATTTTTTATTTTTTAGAAAAACTTTTCAACAGCCAGCATGGTAGGAGACAGAAAGAAAGTAGTTATGAAGAGAAGAATCTAGGAAGACTGCATGAGGTCATGCATAGTGGCATCTCAAACTGAAGCAAGAGAGGGGGGGAAAGCATAAGGAATTCAAAGTTTAGCCACTGCTGTTACTTTGTGATTCTGGCTAAAAAGGACTGTGGGCCCTTGAAATTCTATGAATACACATATGCTATTCCAAATAACAGACCTTGTAAAATCAGGTAGAATTCTAGCAACTTGGCAGCATGCTCACACTGGGGAAGGGGAGTGGACACAAGCAGTATATATGCTGGCCGGCAATGATAACGGGGGTGGGGGGGAGTTATATGTTCCCCCTTAGGTTGCATGCAAGTATGGACATTTTTTTTTAGAGTTACTGATACAATATACCATGCTTTAGCTCTAGCTTGTAAACAGATTTATCCCATTTCAATAAATCCTTCCAAAGGAGTAAACTAAAGTGTCTTTGCTTTGCATAGACTGGGAGAAGGTTAGCCTTAGTCAAGTTTTATTGCCGTCTGTCCCAGTTGGGTAGATTCAAGCTCCATAGTTATCTTGGTGATCTACATCACAGAAAGTGATGTCAAATCCCACATTTTTACAGATGTCACTAGAACGAGGTAAAGGTAAATCTTTTAACAGAAATATTTCCTCTTACTTCCTGTTTTTTGTCTAGGACAAAAGTGAGAGAAAATCATCCCCAACCAGACACAAACAGGGAAGAAAAAAAAACTTGGATTTTAACTATTCCCTGCTCATTGCACAACAAAAAAAGAAAAAAGGAAATAAAAAAAGGAAGCACTTTACATGCACTTTAGAACATACAGTACCTCCAGACAATTTTTGTAGGGAAGGGATAGACTCTAAGAATGCTGTCTGTGTCATTGCTAGGGAGATTCACTCTCACTATATGTA